AGGCTGTGGAAGGTCGGTAGTTCAGCAGTTCGAGACCCGAGTGTGCCGCATGACGGAGTGAGCTCCCGTCTCTAGTTCCAGCTCCTGCCAACCTAGCAGTTCGAAAGCAAGAAATTGCAAGTAGATAAATAGGGACCACTTCGGTGGGAAGGTAACAGCGTTCCATGCTCCTTGGTGTTTAATCATGCCGGCCACATGACCACGGAAACATCTTCAGACAGCACTGGCTCTTCGCCTTTGAAACGGAGATGAGCACTGCAATCCTAGAGTCGGACTCGACTGGCTTTCGAGCAAGGGAACCTTTACCTTTACCTTTTAAGCATTTGGCAGTATGTGTTCCCTGAGCTGGACAAAGGTATGTGTGTTTCAAAAGGCCATAGCCAGGCCTCTGAGCACATGCAGAGTGTAGTTCCCTGAGCTGGACAAAGTGTCTGTTTAAAAAGCCTTTTGGCCAGTTTCCTCTGAGCCATTCCATGGAGCTGCCAGGCAGTGTTCTCTCTAAGCTGAGTTAGTGTGAGCTAGCTCACAGTTTTTTAGCCCTTGGCTCACACATTTTTGTTGTAGCTCAGGAAGGATGGTTCCAGAGCAAACTAACTTATGCAGCAGCCAAATTGCTCGCTCACAACTTTAATGCCAGTAGCTTACAAAGAAGAATTTTTGCTCACAAGACTCCACAGCTTAGAGGGAGCATTGCTGCCAGGTAACATCTTGTAGAAATTATTATTATGTAGTGCAGTCACTGGGCATGGCACAGAGTAGCTATCAAAAATGTAGGTCCCTGCCCCGAGCTGCTTACCAACCAGAATTCAACCTAGGGGAAGACTACAGAGGGCTAGGAGAAAGTTGCAGACATTTCAGTTCAGACCTGTGTGTGTTACGTGTAGGACCTTTGAGCATGTGCAAAGGGCCTTCTCTGAATGGTACTTTCTTTTCTCTGAGATTTTTGGGGTGGAGCCTGAGTGGTGGGTGTTGCCTTCTGACACACTTCCGGTGATTTCAGGAGGTGTGGCATATGCAAATAAGTTATGCTAATGAGTTATGCTAATGAGCTCCTCCACCTCTTTTTCTACAAAATGACCCCTGCAGACTTGGCTTAGCACCAACAAAGGTGTGTCCTTCTGCTGATGGAGAGGAACTGGACCAGACTGAGTGAAAAGGTGGGCTGGATCCAACTCAATAAAGACAAATCAAAGAGTGAAACTAATATTGTTGGTTTTTCTTAGTAGGGAATTCCAGAGTGCTGTTTGGGGGAGAGATTCATGGGGTTGAATCCAGGCTATATTTTGCACCATGGGAACAGAACTTTCCTGCATCCCTCCTTCCCACTGCAGCCCCCTCGTCTCCACGAAATGCTGCTCCTGGGGGACAAGGGGTCCTGAGAAACAAGACGTCAGGGAAGGTGGTCTGCGGTGGGAGGGAGGAACTGGTAGAAACTGGCAACTGAGTTTGGATTCAACCCATAGAGATGCCTGTAAAGTACGTGTATGTTTTTCCTGTGGAGAAAGTGTGAGAGTACGAGAGACTGAGAACGTGAAGATAGGCTATACCTCTCCCCCCAGCCCCCGTGTCATCGCCCCAATATAAATCAGGCCTCTCTTGAGAGTTTAAAGAAAATCCAGCAGGTGCTCCATTCACAGATTCTCTGTCATGGTGTCTACTCCCCCACTTGTAATAAGGGAATAAGCATACTGTCATACCCCTGCAGGACTGTGCTAAGTAAGGATTAATGTGAAACTGTCTGAGATCCAAAGAGGCTTGTGCAATGGACTTGGGCTTAGCTCAGTGGAATTTTAACCCCCCCTCCTTCAAACGGCTGATTCCTATAACATAACACAAACGCTATAGGAAACTCCCCTCAGTTTCAGATCACTATGAAGCACGCCAGGTTGGTTTTAGATGGGAAAATAAGTCTTAAATCCCTTTGGGTCTGCAGAAACCAATGTAAAACATATGTAAAGAACTCCAGGAAAACACTATATCAGTACTCTGCATGCATGATTACTACTTGCAGCTATTCAGTAATAAACTGGCTTGCGAGAAGGATTGTGACTAGTGCATACTGGAAACTGACTACAGTTTTTACTGGAGGGGATGGCTGTGATTCCATGTGATTTCTCTCTCTCTCTTCTTTAAAATAAGCATGGGCACCTAACTTGATTTACAGAACACTACATGGAGGCCTGTTTCCATATTCCAGAATGTCGTCCATCTGTGATATAAACACAAGAACATATTTAAAGCATGCTTACCGTGGAGGGGAGTCCGGGTGCATGATGTTGACCTGAGACAAAGTCTCCACGTACGAACTGAAATCCAACACTGGTGGGAACTCATCGATGCAACTGGATCTTAGTTCTCCAACTGAGCCACCATATGAGAAGCCATCTGGAGCTAGAAGAAGTGTGAGCAGGAGGGGAGGGCGGGGTTTGGGGAGGGGAGGGACTCAGCAGGGTGCTATGCCATAGAGTTCACCTTCTGTGGCCGCCATTTTCTCCAGGTGAACTTATCTCTGTTGTCTGGAGATCAGCTGTAATTCTGGGAGTTCTCCAGGCCCCACCTGGAGACTGGCAACCCTAGTGAGGACCACCCATTCAGAAAGAGCTGCCTCCACCATATAAGGATGCTCGGTTTGCAACCTCTCAACGTTTGTGATTGCCCAGCCCTCCATGGCAGCCAGGGGGCACCCTCCCCCTGCTCCTCGCATTCCAAAACCTTAAATTCTCTCCCCCCCCCCCCCCAATTTCTGAAACAACATTTACATACTTTTCCTAATAAAGCCTCCCCACCACCCTGGAGCTAAGAGTCTGTCAATCTATCATGCCTTGTTTTTCTCTCAGTACTGTTTACGTAATTTATGTACACCTCTGTTCGGTAGCTAAGGATGCTTGAACCGGATACTGGAGAGGATCAGAGAGCCTCTCGGTCTGCTCTTTGTGGTATGCAGCACTACCCATTCCCCCCCCCCAGCTGCTTTGGCAGCACAGGAGTAAGAGGGAGGGAGTGGGGAAAAGCTTTTCCAGAAGGTCAGCACCAGTGAATGCTGGCCAGAGAAGCTCTGGGAGAATGTTTCTCTTTCCCCATTCTTTTCATTACAGAAGTGTAAATGATTCCCCTCTGCCATTTTGCCCTTGAACGACCCTGTGAAACAGGTTAGGCTAAGACAGACTGACTGGCTGATTGGAGACTTCCATGTCCTTTTCTGACTATCCCACACATTCAACAGCTGCAGGATTTTGTATTAGGCCCAAATCGGACACGAGAGTGGCAAATGGGCCTCAGATGGACTCACAGCCGCTTCCTTTCCCTCACAGGATCCTGGTTTCTTTCTTTCTCTCCCTGAAACCTTCCTCTATACATAGATCTGCTCCACTAATGTACAAAAGGACCTGTTTTAACTGTTCAGCTGAAGAGAAGAGTATGGGGTTGGGACAGAAGACATTATTGAAGTACATGTCACCCCTGTGTCCCTTCTGCTGTAAAACATGGACACTTGCCCTCCTACTTCTAGGGATGAACTGATGCGGCCATTTTTGTTTCTTTTCATTTCCCTATCTTGTCACCTGTTTCCATGTAACTCATAGTTGTCGCAGTGGTTAATGATTCTTTCATTTCACCTTTGACACCATTTCAACATATGCTCTATTTATATGCCAATGCACAAACATAATTTTTTAAAGTGCACATGTTTAACAAAAAAACCAACAACAACACCTGGCATACGGAACAGTAAATGGTGTGAAAATCAGGCCTTTAAGGTCCCCTTTTCTCACAAAACTGAAATCAGAGAATTCAGTTCAAAGCAGCTGTCTTGTGGAATTTTGGCTTAAAGGGATATCCAGGTGATTAATGTCAGATCTGGATCTAAACTTATAGATCTGCTCCTCTCACATCATCTTGGTATGAGAAACAGTGGAATAACAAAGCAAGAGCAATTTGAAAAGTTTGCATGCACCTCTCCCATGTTTTCTGGTAGCTGTAACACGAGACTGCAAAGGTTTCTTACTGTAACTGGCATCCCTCCTCAAATGGGGATGTCGCAATCGTCTATCTTTTCGCAGGCTGCCGATGAAGATGGTCACGCAGGAGAGGAACAGCACCACGCCAATCACCATCCCAGCCACCATGACAGAAGAGCCCATCAAATTCGTGTCGCCGCTGTGTTCGGTGTAGTGGGAAAGCTTGCTGATGGGACCGCTCTGGTTCAAGTGAATGTCTACACAGTATACAAACAGGGAGGGGGAAATATGTTTTAAATGATGTTCGCCTCATGGATACCAGCTCCAAACCGCTACTGTTCTTTCTTTATTAAAAGAGTTATATCCTGCCTTTTCCACGACACAACTGTTCAAGGCTTTAACTGTCCAACTGTAAGAAATAGAAATGATAATAAATCGCCCCACAGCATAAAAACTCTTATAGCCTTAGTCACTGACAAAGGCCTGTCTGAACAACACAGCTGTAAATAGTGTTTCTGAAACCAGGCCAATATGATTAGGCCCTCTACTTACAGCCAGTTTGGTGTAGTGGTTAAGTGCGTGGACTCTAATCTGGGAGAACCCCACTCCTCCGCTCACAGCTGCTGGATGACCTTGGCCAAGCCATAGTTCTGTCAGAGCTGTTCTTGAAAAAGAGCAGTTTCTGTCAAGAGCTCTCTCAGCCCCACCTACCTCACAGGGTGTCTGTTGTGGGGAGGGGAAGGGAAAGGAGTTTGTAAGCTGCTCTGAG